CCCCGAGCAGTCCCGGCGGGAGCGTGGCGCGCGGACGGTGAGGAGCCCGGCGGGCGCGGGACGGGCGGGAGGGCCAGACGCCCCTTGCGGCGGGTGCGGGCTCCGCGCTCGGGCTCGTTAACTCTCCGGGTAGGCTTCTCAGCCTCAGTTTACAGATGAGGAGACTGAGCCCCAGAGCCGTTAACTGTAAGGCGCCTGAAGTCTCTCAGCCTAGGAGTCCGGGGTTCAAAGCTCGCCTGGGTCGGCCGGTGGAAGTGGGATTGGAAGCCCGGCCGACTGGAACCTGGAGGGTCCCCTCGGCGCGTCCGTTTATGGTTAACAACTCAGTGCCTCTCGGACACTCGGTTTCCTCATCCGCAAAGTGGGAACAGAAAATCTACCCTCTTAGTGCGATCGTGGAAATAAAGTGCTTAGCCCAGTGCCTGCACCGAGTCTGTTTTCATTACGTTGGTCCCGCCAAATTTATTTCTCACGACCTTGGCAGAATGAGAAGGTTAGATTTCAGTCTCGGGACCACCTGGCTGCCCTTGTGACCTGTATACATCCTACTCAGCAAGGAAAGAAAGGGACAGCTGGTACATGTGGGGTGGTGGGTAAGTAATGGAGCGAGAAAGAGTGGATGCTGAAAGCGTAACAAACTCATATCTCAGTTGACTGAATTTTTTGTTTCAACAGTGTTTCAGTTCACTGTAAAAAGAAACACAAGCGAGAGGAGGAGGAGGATGATGAGTAAGTTTCAGGCGCTGTTTATTCGTTTATTCACTTTATAGTCCGTATTTAACCCTTTCATGTCCTCAACTACTCATTTTAGGTGAGAAAGGAACACATTAGGTGTCTCTTTGGAAGGAGCTGCATGAAACTGATAACATTGGTTGCCTTTTGGAGAAGGGACTGAGTGGTTGGCAGACAGAAGTTGGAGGAAAACTTCATGTTATAATCTGTTGTAATGTTAGAATTCCAAGTGTGCCGAAGGATACACATTGAAAAGTCTTATAGCGCACACTCCTAGTTCTCTTCCCCATAGGCAATCTCTCTGTTGCTGTATTCCTATTTCTCCTTTAGAAGATAGTCTAAAAACTTCAAGTTTATGATTGTGTAAACCAAAAACCAAAACCCATGGGGACCCTAGAAGACAGAGTAGAACTGCCCCATAGAGTTTCAAAGCTGTAAATCTTTATGGAAGCAGACTGCCACATCTTTCTCTGCAGAGGCTGGTGGGTTCAGACCACCGACCTTTTGGTTGGCACCCAAGCTCTTAACCACTGTGCCACTGGGGCTCCTTATAATTGTAAAGACCTCTGTTTTTACCTTGATAGGAAGATAATTGTTCCTGTTGTGCAACACATGGTTCTTGTCATTTCACTGCCCTATAGCTTGTCTGTATCAGCACATGGAGTTCTACCCAATTTGTTTTTCAACAGTTGACTGGAATTCTGTTGTAGGGCTGCTCTTGTTGGATGCCATTGAGTCAATTTTGACTCATGGCAACCCTGTGTGATAGAGTAGAGCTGTCCTATAGGGTTTTCATGGCTGTGATCTTTTACTGGCAGATTGCCAGTTCTTTTCCCACAGAGCTGTAGAGTGGGTTCAAATCATCAGTCTTTAGGTTAGCAGCTGAGCACTACCAGCACTCCTTAGGGTGAGGTATAGATAGTTTCCTAGTTTCCTATTAAGAGATTTCCAAGTTATTTCTAGTCTTTTGCTATTACTAGCAAAGCTACTGTGACCATTCTTTTAAAATTCTTTGTATATATTTGCAAGTTGATTGATGGATTACTAAACAGTCGCTGGGTTTCTTCAAGAGATGTTGCCAGTTTATGCTCTTGTTAACAGTGGGAATGCCTGTTTCTTCATTTACCAGAACTATAATTCACATTTTTTGATCATCGCCTAACTGATAGGTGAAAAATTGTATCTCGTAGACAGGGAGACTGATAGAAAAATGGGTAAAAATTCCCCAAAGAGGAAATCCAAATGACTGACTAGCAAATGAAAAGGTAGATGTTAACCCCATCAGTCTTCAAAGAAATGCATATTAAAACCACAGTGAGATTCCACTTTACCATCCGATGTTAGAGAGGATGTGGGGCAACAGGGATTCTCATCCAGTGTGGATGGAAGTGTAAATTGGAACAAGCATTTTGGAAAACAGTTTGGCATAATCTGATAAATTGAAGGCACACATATATCCATACACCCAACAATTCCCCTTCCTGGTTGTGTATAGTCTAGAGAAGTTCATGTGTGCACGAGATACAAGAAAGTTCATAGCTGCGTTGTTTGTAATAGCTTAAAACTGGAAACAACCCAAATGTCTCTCAACAGTAAAATGGATAAAGTAAATTATAAAAGTCATACAGTGGAGTCCTATTCAGCGAAAAAATGAAGGAAGTACACATACACGTGTCAGTGTGGATGTGCCTTATAAGCATAATGTGAGCAAAAGAAATACCGCAAGAATGTATACAGAATAATTCCTAAAATATGAAATTGAAAATGAGGCAAAACTGTATTGTTTACAGATGTATACCTACATACATGATAATGCTTTTTTTTAAAGAAGCAGTTACCATAAAAGACAGTGTTTACCTGTAGGAAGTACCATTTGGGCATGCAGCAGTGTTCTATATCTTGAATGATATTTTCGTGGATGTTTGCTTTATAACTGTTTGTCATATCGTATATTTGATTCAGTTGTATGTGTGTAGGATTTTATGACTTAAAAGATTAAAGAAATTGGATAACAATTTGTATTTTGCTAATTGTAGATGTTGAACATCTTCATTTAAGCCATTTGTTTAATTTTGTTTGAATTGTTCATGTTTCTGCCAATATTTTATTGACTTGTCTTTTTCTCATTGATTTCTAAGAAGTCTTTATTAAGGAAATTAGCGGTTTATTAAGTGTGTAGCAGATGTTTTCTCCAAATTTGTCATTTGTCTTTTAACTAAGTTTAAAGTGTAAAAACTACTGACTAAAAAGGATAACCACTTTTAATTTTACATGTAGAGAGATTGAAGCCCTGGAAGGAGGGACTAGACATTTGGAGGTCTAAAGCTTGGAATTGTGCTGCTCAGCTCCACTTCCATAGCTGTTATCAGTAGCTAGAAGTCTTAATATCACATTTTCTTTGTAATTCAATTACCATTGAGCTCTATTTGCAAAGTGGACATGAAGTGTTGTTGTGTGCCATCAGGTCAATTCTGATTCACAGCTACCCTATAGCTTATCCAAATCATGTTGTTGGAGGTCAAAGGTCAGAACTCAGCTTTTACACTCAGTTGTATATAATAGTTGAATTGTTAAATGCGCTGGGAAATTACCTGTCCCCTCTAGATTTATTCTGCCTCTTTTTAGCTGGGTTCTTATATGTATGATTTTATTTTCCTCTGCTTTCTACAACTTCATATATTTGAAAACTACCCATATATTATAGAAATATTTGATGTATGTATGCATATATATATAGGTAGATATTCTTAATACTTAGGAGATAAAGTTTCTTGTGAGCCAAACATGTTATGTAATAGTTGATTAAACTAAAAAATTTAGGTTCCAGAGAGCATTATAACTTCTCAGATTTTATATCACCAGAGAATTTAATGTTGATTTTCCCAGTCGTGACATGGAATAGGAATTTCCCACTGTACAATACATGATGCTTCCTTTGACCTTCAGTTTAGAGAATCAGAAGCTGTGGTAGCCGTTAATGAATTTTGGTTACAGAGCTATGTTCTAGTCTTGACATTGCACTTACTGATGCCAAGACAGTAAAGTACTTTTGATCTAAATACTTGAGTAGAATAGGGACGGTTGCCTATTTTAACTTGCTTCTGACAGCTTTCAGTTAAACATGGGCATGTTGTGTTTGCACATACTAGTTTATGGAGAGAGCTTGAACAGTTGAATGTCCGTAAAGAATCAGGGATTCAATGAAAATGGCATAGAGGTAGGATGCAGCAGCTCTGCATTCTGGTCCTAAACATCAGCTCACTACCTTGCTGTGAGACTTTGGAGGGGCACTTTAACTTTCCTAGGCCCTAGTTTCCAAATCTACAAAACAAAGGAATGGGATTTGATGAACTCTGAGGTCTCTGTGAACTATGAATTTGTCTAGGAAGTGAAGACAGTATGTTGCAAGGTGGGAGAAAAGTGGACCCCATTATTGATGATGGACTGATAGAGCCATCTGACAGCCTTTGACATTTTAGAGGGGAATGAGAAATCAGTAGTATCACCTGCACCTATACACTTGGAACAGACCTGATGAAGCATATATTTTTTGCCCTGAAGGACTATGGGATGGCTGCCAGAACGCTTCCGCATATGACCAACTTGATGGAGCCTGCAGTATGACAAAATATGGCTCTTGCTGAATTGCTGCTTTGTGATATTTGGTTCTTTTCCTTCCCGTTTGGCCATTTGAGAGCAAATAAGTAGGAATGACTTTAAGTTCTCTAGTTGAATACTTCTAATCTGAAGAGGCAAAATCCCGCAGGTACAGCCTAATTTGGCAAAGAGAAGTAGAAGAAAACGTCTCAGTAAGGCTGAGGGTGACAGAAAATGCATGGTTTTCCATCTTGTAATCATACACTGTCAAAAAAATCTAGAGTTTTTTTTGCATTGAAGAATTTAAAGATGAGGATGATAAACATTTCATTTGTTTTCTAGCTAGTTTTTTAAAAGTTAGACTTATCATTGAAATTTTTTTTTCTTCAGTTGTCCAGTGAGAAAGAAAAGGCTGACTGAAGCAGGGCTCTGTCCTGGCCCTAATGACTGGATTCTTTGTACACATCAGGAACTAGAGGGTCATGGAGTAAATCCGTGTACTAGTGGCCTTCCTGCATCTGGCATGTTAGATGTGATCTGTGAAGAAATGGATCAGACAGCTGCAGAACCACAGTGTGAAGTTGCCCGGAGGAGGCTTCAAGAAATTGAGGACAGGTAAATGGGCAGCATATATAGCTGGCTTATTCCTATAAAAATCAGGGAACTCAAAGTGTACACTTTACATGCTAACATGAGCTTGTAGACTAGAACTAAGGATTTTCATGTACTACCTCTGAATCTTAGTTTTTGATTTATGGCATAGTTTTCTGGGATACCTTCAAATTTGATTGCATCTTAAGTAAAACTTTTTTGTTAAATTGAAATGTTGAACAACTCTTTTGTATATACTTTTTTTTACCTAAGCTTTTATACTGAACTTTTGCTGTAGTACCTGTTGCCTTTATCCTTTTTTATTTTTCAAAATTTTCCCAGTTGCTAGAATAATGTGTAATAGCTTGAGCTTGGCTAAATAATTTTCTTTCTCCTTCTGCTGCCTTAATTTACATAGGATAATTGATGAAGATGAAGAAGTTGAAGCCGACAGAAATATTAACCGTCTCCCCAGTCTTGTCCTTTCTGATACCATGAAAACAGGTTTGAAGAGGGAATTTGATGAAGTCTTTACAAAGAAAATGATTGAGTCCATGTAAGTTTTGGTACTTGATTTCCGTTTAATTAGATCTTTAAGGGAAAACCCAGTGTCTCTAGACAGTGCCTGTCCTATCCTAGTTATCTCTTTCATCTGCTGATCACCAGACAAGTGAAAGCACAGTAAGTTTTCTATTTAGCTTGTTGGCCTCTTGGAGACAGTTTTCCTTAGTTTATAGAGTGAACAAATGTTGTGCAAGCAGGAGTTTGAAGTATACAGGAGTGGCTTCCTTGCCTGCTTACCTCTTGTTTGAAGTCCTGAAATGCATTATAGATGCACTACAGTCTAATACTTGGGAATGGAGGACGGGCAAAGGAGAGTCCATTCGCTTATGTTCACGTGATAGGCTATAGAAATCACATTTTGAAATTGCTTGTTTACCTGGCTCTCTCAGTTATCCAGGAACACCATTGAGACCTAGGAAACAAAAGTGTACCGGCAGTAAAAATAATTACCACAAAGGTCACAAACCAAAGCTTATATTCTTGCCCCATATCATAGCCCCTAAGGACCTATAGCAGAACCAACTTGCTGTTGTCGCCACCACTCATCAGTGTATTGTACTGTAGTGGCTTGCATGTTGCTGTGATACTGAGATTTATGCCACCGGTATTTCAAATACCAGCAGGGTCACCCATGGTGCACAGGTTTCACGGGGCTTCAAGGCTAAGACAGACTAGGAAGGAGGACCTGGCAGTCTACTTCTGAAAAAATTAGCTAGTGAAAACCTTATGAATAGCAGCAGAACATTGTCTGATACACGATTGGAAGATTAGCCCCTCAGGTTGGAAGACACTCAGAATACAACTGGGAAAAACTGTCTCCTCAAAGTAGGGTTGACCTTAATGACATGGGTGGAGTCAGGCTTTCGAGGTCTTCATTTGCTGATGTGGCATGACTCAAAATGAGGAGAAACAGCTGCAGACATCCATTAATAACCGGAATGTGGAATATACAAAGTATGAATCTAGGAAAATTGGAAGTTGTCAAAAATGAAATGGAACCCATAAAGATTGATATCCTAGACATTAGTGAGTTTAAAGGGCTGGTATTGACCATTTTGAATCAGACATTCATACGGTCTGCTATGCCGGCAGTGACAGATTGAAGAGGAGTGGCGTCGCATTCATCATCAAACAGAGCATTTTAAGATTATCTTCAAGGACAATGCTGTCAGTGATAGGATAATATCCGTAAGCCTACAAGGAAGACCAATTCATACGACTATTGAAATTTGCAGACCAACCCCTCTGAGTTCAAAGATGAAGGAATTACAGATTTTTACCAACTCTGCAGTCTGAAATTGATCAAACATGGAGTCAAGATGCAGTGATAATTACCGGCAATTGGAACGTGAAAGCTGGGAACTAAGAAGGATCAGTAGTTGCAAAATACGGCCTTGGTGATAGAAACGATGCCGGAAATCATATGGTAGAACTTTCCCCCTTTGCAAGACTAATGACTTCTGCATTGCAAATACCTTTTCTCAGCAACATAAACGGCGACTATACAAGTGGACCTCACCAGATGGAATACACAGGAATCAAATACATGTGTGGAAAGAGACGATGGAAAAGCTCAATATTATCAGTCAGAACAAGGCCAGGGGCTGACTGCAGAACACACCATCAATTGCTTATGCAAGTTCAAGTTGGAACTGAAGAAAATTAGAATAAGTCCACAAGAGCCAAAGTATGACCTTGGGTATATCTCACCTGAATTTAGAGACCATCTCTAAGGCAGATTTGATGCATTGAACACTAATGACCAAAGACCAGACGAGTTGTGGAATGACCTCAAGGACAACATACATGAAGAAAGCAAGAGATCACTAAAAAGACAGAAAGAAAAGACCGAAGTGCACGTCAGAAGAGACACTGAAACTTACCTAAACGTCGAGTAGCTAAAGCAAAAGGAAGAAAAGATGAAGTCAAAGAGCTAAACAAGATTTCAAAGGGGAGCTCGAGAAGACATAGTTAAGTATTACAGTGACATGTGCAAAGACCTGGAGATAGAAAACCAAAAGGGAAGAAAACACTCGGCATTTCTTGAGCTGAAAGAACTGAAGGAAAAAATTCAAGCCTCAAGTTGCAATATTGAAGGATCCTGTAGGGAAAATAGTGAACAACACAGGAAGCATCAAAAGAAGTTGGAATACACAGGATTATTGTACCAAAAAGAATTGGTCGGCATTCAACTATTTCAGGAGGTAATGTGTGATCAAGAACCGATGGTACTGAAGGAAGACATATAAGCTAAACTGAAGGCATTGACAAAAAACAAGGCTCCTGGATTTAACGGAATGTCAACTGAGATGTCAACAAACAGATGCAGCACTGGAGGTGCTCACTCGTCTATGCCAGGAACTTTGGAAGACGGCTACCTGACTGATCGACTGGAAGAGATCCATATTTGTGCCCATTTGTGCCAAACCTAGATTTTTGAGTGGAATGCAGAAATTAACTATCAATAATATCACACGCAAGTAAAATTTTGCTGAAGATCATTCAGAAGCAGTTGTGGCAGTACATCGACAGGGAACTGGCAGAAGTTCAAACCGGATTCTGAAGAGACATGGAATGAGGTATATCATTGCCGATGTCAGATGGTTCTTGGCTGAAAACAGAGAATACCAGAAGGATGTTTACCTATGTTTTCTTGACTTTGCAAAGCCATTTAATTGTGTGGATCGTAACAAATTACGGATAACATTGCAAAGAATGGGAATTCCAGAACACTTAATTGTGCTCAGGAGAAACCTGTATATAGACCAAGAGGCAGTTGTTTGAACAGAACAAGGGGATACTGTGTGGTGAAAAGTCAGGAAAAGTGTGCATCAGGGTTGTATCCTTTCAGCATACTTACTCAATTTGTATGCTGAGCAAATCCAAGAACCTGAACTATATGAGGAAGAACACAGCATCAGGAGTGGAGGAAGACTCATTAACAAACAGCAATATGCAGTTGACACGTATGGAAAGGGAAGAGGTCCTGGATAAGTAAAGTGTTACTGAAGAAGAAGAACAAAGAGGCCTCATACTACCTGATTTTAGAACCTATTATACTGCCACGGTAGTCAGAACAGCCTGGTACTGGTAACAACAGTGGATACATACACCGGTGGAACAGAATTGAGAATCCAGACATAAATTCATCCACCTGTGAACAGCTGATATTTGACAAAGGCCCAAAGTCTGTTAATTGGGGAAAAGACAGTCTCTTTAATAAATGGTGCTGGCATAACCGGATATCCATCTGCAAAAAACTGAAACAAGACCTGTACCTCACCCCCATGCACAAAAACTAACTCTAAATGGATCAAAGACATAAATATAAAATCAAAAACGATAACGATCGTGGAAGAGAAAATAGGGACAATGCTAGGAGTCCTAATACATGGCATAAACACAATACGAACCATAAGTAATAATGCACAATCCCTAGAAGAGAGACTAGATAACTGGGAGCTCCTAAAAATCAAACACTTAGGCTCATCAAAACACGTCACCAAAAGAGTAAAAAGACAACCTACAGACTGGGGAAAAAATTTTGGCTATGACAAATCCGATCAGCATCTAATCTCTAAAATCTACAAGATACGACAAAACCTCAACAACAAAAAGACAAATAACCCAATTAAAAAATGGGCAAAGGATATGAACAGGCACTTCACCAAAGAAGATATTCAGGCGATTAACAGACACGTGAAGAAGTGCTCACAATCATTAGCCATTAGAGAAATGCAAATCAAAACTACAATAGGATATCATCTCACCCCAGTAGGGCTAGCATTAATCCAAAAAACACAAAATAATAAATGCTGGAGAGGTTGTGGAGACTGGAACACTTACACACTGTTGGTGGGAATGTAATATGGTACAACCACTTTGGAAATCCATTTGGTGCTTCCTTAAAAAGCTAGAAATAGAAGTACCATACGATCCAGCTGTCTCACTCCTTGGAATATGTCCTAGAGAAATAAGAGCCGTCACATGGATATATGCACACCTATGTGCACTGCAGCACTGTTCACAATAGCAAAAAGATGGAAACAACCTAGGTGCCCATCAACGGACGAATGGATAAACAAATTGTGGTGTATTCACACAGTGGAATACTACGCAACGATAAAGAGCAATGATGAAGCTGTGAAACATCGTATAACATGGAGGAGGCTGGAACTTATTATGCTGAGTGAATTTAGTCAGTCACAGAAGGACAAATACTATATAATACCACTGTTATAAGAACTCAAGAAAAGGTTTAAACGCAGAAGAAAACATTCTTTGATGGTTACGAGAGTGGGGAGGGAGGGTGAGGGTTATTTACTAACTAGATAGTAATCATCTTAGGTGAGGGGAAGGACAGCACACACTACAGGGGAAGTCAGCACAACTGGACTAAACCAAAGCTAAGAAGTTTCCTGAATACAATCAAATACTTTGGGAGACAGAATAGCAGGGGTAGGGGTCTGGGGACCATGCTTTCAGGGGACATCTAGGTCAATTGGCATAACAAAGCTTATTAAGAAAATGTTGTACATCCTAC